GGTGGAGGTGATGAATTTCTAACAAACACTCGATGGCAGACTGGCTAGCATTTGTTTAACTTGTGAGCGAGCGAGTGAGTGAGCGAGAGATTTAAATTGCGTCCACTGGGTTCCCAGGCAAACGGACGAAGATTTTAGTACGAATTCGAGACAAGAGATGCAAACACAGGCACGTCACTCACCTTGACAAGTTCGTCTTGCGATTCGAATTGGCATTGACAATTGCCCCATCGGCAAGTTGTCTCGACAAAATCAGGATCTCCTTCTTGAGGAATTCTACCATCTTCGTCCATCAACTCCTCCTCGTAATCTGAACATCCCGCTTCATCTCCAGCCAGCAAAGCAGATACTGAAGCCCCGCCACCACCTTCCACTTTCATGGACTTGGCGGTGGAGGAAGAAACAGACGATGAGAGGTCCTCTCCTTTAATTGTAACGATGTTGGAGGCAGAATTTCCATTAGTGTTTGCGGTTTGAGAGGAAGGCATGTCCTTGCGAACGCCGTAGCCCTTTCCTCCTCGATTCAACCAACAGTCGTAATTAGGCGCCTGGAAAGGATCTGAATAATTGGGAGGTGGAGGAGGAGGCTGTGTTCGACCTCCGTAGAAAGAAGCACCGGTGTTTGAGGACTTATGCAGGGCGTTGTGATAGAGCATCATAGCTTGCGGCGAGAGCATAAAGTTGGTCGGAGGACCAGATTGGGTGGAGGGGGGCTTCCGGGGGAAGAGAGGTGGTCCAACGCCCGGTGCAGACGCAGGTGAAGAGCCGTTAGAAGAGGAGCTGGTGGCAGCTGCTGAAGCGGAGTTTGAATCAGAAGTCTTGGGATGACTGCCCACCCACCCCATTTGGTGCGGCCCCCCTGAGGTTCCTGTCCCAAAATTAGCAGCAACAGCGGCTGCAGCTGCTGCGGCGAAAGCCATAGCAGCCACTGCAGAGCTGTTCTGAGCCTCTTTATGTGCATCGTCTATAGGGAAAAAAAGAAGGATTAAATGGGGAAATTGGGCATCCACATCATCATCAAAGGGCCGATGAAGTAGCTGAGCAACAGCAACAGAAGTAGTAGAAGTAGAAAAGCGAACTTGGGACACACACCCATTGGGTAAGTACCCTTACAGGAGAGGGTGGGGGTGGGGGAGGGGGGGGTGGGGGNGGGGGTATGCCTAACGAGGACGTTTTAAAACAGTTCGATCTTAAATATGAAATTACTACACAAGCACTGACACATTTTCCCTCTCAGATCACCGTCACAGTCCTTCCCTTTGACAGGCAAACTAAAGAGAATGCTAAATCAACACCATGACCCATATCGTCAATAAATTAAACACACTACTTTGCCATTAGATTCCAGTAAATTCGACTGAACTGGTAACTCATATAAGTACTTCCTAGGTGATGATTGAGCCCTGATATGTTAGAAGGGCATTACGATTGATTACTGAATTTGCACATTACCACTCTCCGTTCCTGCTGTTTCGCGGTGCCAAGGGCAATATCATCAAAACTAACTCTTTCAAACTGGTTGGTTGAATGGAAAATGTCTCAAGAAGGGAGCCGGAATTTCTTCAACGCCCCCGACACTTGATGCATAACAAGGAGGGCGGGGGGGGGGGAGATGCTGGCAAACAACTGGGAAAAACCCTGGACAAGTCTCTCATTTGGGCAGCATGATTCAGCAAAAATGTTTGAAACAATTCCAAACAAAGGTTAGATCTGCAAAAGCACACACCATGACGAGAGTACGAGGTTGGGGGAAGGGATTAAGGCTAAACTGCTGATTCACCGTCGAATAGGTTTCGATTATAGAATCACCTTTTATGGCACCAATTTGCGCTGAAGAATCGAATACCACTCAGTTGCTGCAGTGTCTGTATCAATGTGTAAAAGTGAGCTAGGACTGCTATTCACCCTGCTGATCTCGACTTCGAGGTCAATAGCAACATAAATTTAGCTAATCTTCCTATAATTTGTAAACCGACAAGAAGACCGGAAATATCGTGTTACGGTGTATAATAAAATAATCTTAATAGTCAATGGAGCTGGAATTACATGAACCTGAGATGTATGGCAAAAATAGCACATGAACAGGGGCTCCAAATCCTAAGAATCCAATATGGGTCTTCTTTTGGTTCAAAAACCTCTTCTTCACTTGTGATCTCAAAGGAAATATATTTATAAAATACGACCATTAGAAACGCACTATTCAGGATTTGGTAGATCGTAATTCATGTGCTGTCTGTCTCAAGTCCATAACAAAGATCTACACTTTTAGATGCCTGTGTTGGTTAGGGAACTTCAACTAGAGGTCTAGTCCTGATTACTCACATGTGGTGAAATTTTTTACTGGATATTCCAGTAACTCTCCCCCCCCCCCACCCCCACCCTCACCCCCTTAATTCGTTAATCTTTCTTTCCAGCCTCTTATTGAGTTTTACTATTTCACCAATGACTCACTTCTCTTCCTCCTCAAGCTTACTCGAAACCTACCCTTTAAGTACTATACGCTTATTATGCCCAGCCACCTTCAGCCTTTTTAACAAAGTACCTATTTCATAAATTATTCCAACTCTAATTCTTTGATGATGGCTAGAATTGTAGCTTTAAGCGAGTTTTCTAAAGATGAACTCACTGGAGGTTTTTCTATCGAGCGAGGAGTGAGAAGAGCAACCATGGAATGCGGATGGAGGGAATGTGTTGACAGCCGTAGAGGAAGACGAAGACGGTTGCTGTTGCGTGGCTCCAGGCGGAGGCGGAGGAGGAGGTGGTGGAGGAGGGAAGAGGAATGAGGCGGAGGCTGAAGGCATCATTGAGGGGACCCCGCCACTGCTGGTGCTACCCGTGTTGGGTGGTGTTGCTCGGGGGTGTGGCATACTACTACGGGGTGTGAGGCTACCTGCTGCCTTGCGTCGAAAATTGCCCGCCGAGGAAGGAGTTGTGGGGCGAAAACCTCCAACTCCTCCAGGTGAATTGCCAAAAACGGAATTGTTATCTGTGCTGTTATTGCTCGCCCGCCTTCCAAACATTGGCACAGGACTCGCGCCTAGTGATGCTGAAAAAAATAATAAAATTTTGCCCAATTCACGTCCCCGAAAGAAAAATCCAACAATGGCTCTCTCCAATAAAGCACAAACACTATCGAATTTATGATCTAAAGAAGAGACTGCATCTTGGCAAAAACTGCTTACCAAAAACCAAGAACATGCAAGATATCGACAAACGAACGTATTAAGCATTTCAAAAATCCACTTTCATCCCATTTTGTTAAAATCATTGCCCTCCATTTACTTTTTCCCTCGACACTACCTTGCCTACACACAAACGCAGGAAACTACGAAATCAAAAAAATCAAGTACACCACCACCCAAAGAGCCCATATTCTTTAATTTCCTTCCTCACTTGGAGAACAGAACAGAACAGAAAGGAAAAGAAGGGCAAAGGACTCGTCTTAGAGAGGAACGATCTACGCGACAGCTGCTTTTCACACACCACTGAGAGGTGGAACCACCCAGTAAAGGAAGAAAATTAGAGACTACAGTGGACAGACACAGCACCAGCTACACATCTCTCTGCTCGAGCAAACAATATTTGGATAGATTGCATTAAAAAATTGTAAGAACTCAAGAAATGTGTGTGAGAATGAAAAAAAGGGAAGTGGTAATTTGAGAAGTTCGAAATAGTTGAGTATTAGGAGGAGGAGTTCTTTTAGGAGAGCAGATGGCCAGCGGCGTTAATAACTCGCCTACGTCAAAGATATGAGTTGTTTTGAGCAAATTTTTTTGCCTCTCTCCCTCTCTCACACCTCCATATGGCCAGTCGAAGGGGAAGAATGGGTGGTGGTGGTGGTGGTGGGAAGAGGACAAGCTCTGTTATCATCTCTCCAAGCTGTGTCCAACAACAACACACTCTTAGAAGCCATCTGCTGCCTGCCGCCCGCGCTTCAAATGGGTGGCCCAGCGCCACACACACACACACAACCGTCGAAAAAGGAACCCTTCTTCTTAAGTTGACTCTTAGTCAGAGACTGCAGGCTAATGAATTGGACAAAAAAGACCCAACCTGTTTTGAAAACAGCATACGTCCATTTTAATTTGCTTCACTAATTAGACTGCTGGTGATGTTTGCGATAGTGGAGTAGATTTAATTAAATTGCAGAGGAATAAAATTCACATTGAGAGGAAAGTGGCAGGGGGAAATAACAATAAGAGGTGTTTGCTGTTGAGGCACTGAGGCGTAGAATGAGGCGTAGAGCGGGCAATATTGAGGGGTGGAGCCTTTGTGCTCGTCGTTTTATTATCTCCCTCCCGCAATGCCCACCTCTCACTCATTCAGCGTATTGGAACTGGTCCGATAAAGTGAAGAATAAAATTGACGCGCACACACACACACAAAGAGCAAGCAAGAGAGTGAAGAGGAAAAGGTGGAGCAGCTGTGTGTATTCTTAACGCTGCTGCCGCCTCCGCCACCGCTGTAGGTTGCTAATGACAACACCTCCCACTTGTTATTGGGCCACACGCGCACAATACACGCCCGTGCCTCTCCGGCGATTTTCATCTCCCTCCCTCCCTCCCTCCCACCTCCTCCTCCTCCTCCTCCTCTCGAATGCGCGCCCGCGACCCTATTTTTGCTTATTGATTTTCGATTTCCACGTGCTTGCGCATCAATTGGTGCATTGTGAACTCGAGTTTCTCTCATTCCACTCAATTGTAATCGATACGAAATTGGCATGGAAAGTTGTATCTTCCCACACTAAATTCACGCCGTAGTTTCTTTAAAAACAAGACAAGTTTTTGGTCCGCGCGAAAAAGTCAACCTCCCCTCCCCCCAAAGAGAGGGAACGCGTGTTTGTGTTTGAGAATCAGTGACGTTTTTCCTCTGCTTTCTCGTAAAAGGAGTTACTGTTGATTCTGAAATCTCAACACCGCGTTTCACATGAAAGACAGCTAAAAACCACCCAATTGCCTCCCAGTCTGTGTGTACCCTCTCACAACCGACCCTTTATGGGTCATTGGAATATAAAATGAGTAATTGTCAAAATATGATCAGATTGTCGCGTCCTTCTTCCAAACAGACATTTCTACAAATTCGATATTGAAATTTAAAGAGGAGGCGATTAGAAAAAAACTTTGCCTTACTAAAAGCAGTGAATGAGAGAGGGAGAGAGCAAAAGTAGTTAGAGTAGAGAGGCGTACCGGCAGAGAGATGACCGTAAGAGCCTCCCATACTAGAGACTCCACTGCGAGATGTCTGCATGGCCTGAAGCATGTTGAGAGAGCCCTGCGAGCTCCGAGTGAGGCTGGGAATGTCCAGGTCGTTGACGGAGGATTGCGAATGGGATCGTTTCTTTCCACCGCGAAGATAACTTCCTCCACCACTCAACGGAGTTGTCCTGGATCCGGAGGAGGTTGGCACGAATCCGCTGCTGCGGTGGCCAGGATGGGGAGGAAAGCCACCAGGTAGCCCCCCCAAACCCCAAGAAGTGGGAGAAGTGGGCAGAAAGGCCCCAGGATTTCCAGACTGTGGATGGACTGATGAGGGGAGGAGGGGACTCGGAGTTCCGCTAATTGACCTCGCGGTTTCTGATGCTCTGGAAGACGGACCTACAAACCAGTTCCGAACAGCACTGAATGCCTCCGCAGCAGCCTGGACCACTTCCTGAGACGGTTGCGGCACTGATTTCCAGGTCGAACTGCAAAAAAAGAAGAGAGAAGTTGGTGAATTTGTTTCAATATCAATCAAACGAGATTGACCTTTAGGAAGGAGAAATCAACCCACTGTTTCCACACACATGCATAAAGCGTTTCTTCATCTTCCACTTATTTGGCATTTGGCTAATGGAGACAGAATTATGCAATAGAAATGTAAAGAAAGCTTGCACAACTTATAGTAATCTTTCATGGCAATTGGCATTTCCCTTCTATACGCCCACAACAATGAGAATTCTAATCTCTAGTCCACATGGTCTTCCAAAAACCCTCAGAAGACCCCTTAAATCAGTGAAAAAGCGGTCTCAGCACACACAAAAACTCCATTTTATTACTCCCCTCACCCTTCATGGAAGGATAAAGGAATGCAGAAGGCCTGACTCAGAGACACACAGAGTGTTAATTAATCCTTCGGATGAGAAAAAAGTGCACAGGCACAACGGGTAAGCGAGAGAGAGAGAGAGAAAGGAGGAGAGCGAGAGAGATAAGGAGGGAGAAAAGTGAGAGGAGGAAGGAGGAGGAGGAGGAGATGGAATAAAAAGAAGAAGAAGAAGAAGAAACAGTTCACAATGCATCCCCCTTTTCTTCTTCCCCTAGGTTGGGTACACAATCAGTAATTATAGACTTGGCAGAGAGGAGAGAAAAATACAGATAATTAGAAAGCTGATATCTACATGACTGTGTTACCAAATTTCTTTTTCTACAACTCCTTTTCCTACTTCTCCAGATAGTAGATCTTTTAACGACGATTAGAAAGTTGAAAATTTTCATCAATCCCTATACTTCCTGGATGTTCACTTTATTTTGCCTCGAAATTTTGCGAATCTCCTAAGTCTTACGCAATTGTAATTTGTGAATAGTACTGTAAACACAATGCTACAAAAGTGGTGAACTTCTTACTTGATGTAAATACCTATGAGCGCTGCATTCCACAACATATTTTTCGCGTGTGTCCTCTGAAAGGAGGCGAATCTATCATGACTCCTACACACCTGGATTTTATTATGAGCGCTGGGGAGACTACGTGAAAATATCAAAATTGTCAAATTCAAACGAGGGGGGCGGGGGGCGGCAAGGGGAGGGAGGACTGATATACATATACATATACACTGAAGGCAATAAAAAACCACTGCCGACCACGCAGTGGGTACCCTGGTGTCCGGGGGAGTCTCGAGATGACCGGCGCCGAACACGCGTGACTAAGAAGCATTAAATTGATGTCACCGGTGGGTGCTGCAACGGCCACAATGTCGCATCGTCTCGACTCGTTTCGGGCCTTGTCTTGTCCTTCTTTGACTAAGTCCCTAAATCATCATCATCACAGTCAACTTGAAAACCCCATTCTTAGGGAAAATTCACCACTATTCTATTCCCTATCCCCAGAGTGAGTGAACGAGTGAATACCCATTTGCGAAATGGAAGGCCATGTGCACGTACAATGTAGAGTGGACACGACATTGATTCCGGACTTTCCCAGAAAGTGTACTCTCTATCCAGGACACGACCAAAGGGAGGAAGAGAGGTAGAGGTAGGTAGACTTAGTCATTGCATCTAATCCCTCACTTCCTCCTGCAAAAAATATATATATTGAATGAATGTTTATATGAACCCATGATTTACACTTACAAGTGCCTATAACTCTTCTCAATTTCCACGATTTTGATGGTCCTTTTTCGGTTTTAGAACGTACGTATACATGGACACAGGAAACTAACTTTAGCAAACAAACCCCTGAACCCTGGATACATTGTGACATGGGGATAGAGGAGGGAGGGGGGGCGGGGGGGGACGGGGGTTATAGGCGTTAATTAAACGCGATCACAAGGAAGTGACACAAATCGAGCCGAATATGGATTCATATTGCTGGTACATAATCCACTCCACTTTATAAATAAATGGAATAAATGCATAGACCTCGATGGCACCTAGGAAAGAAAAGGCCAATAAGCATTCATCATACGTAGCATGAGTGCTATGCAATATAAAATGGATAAAGTTTGCCCCACAAATCCATCCTGATTAAAGTTTCTAGGAAATTTCGAGACGACAACGGCAACTTCTAAGACACGCAAATTCCAGTCGCCATCGCTGCAGACCAACCGCAGACACAAGAAGGAATTAAGCTTGGCGACAGTCTGGCAGACGTCAATTAGCTATCAAGCCCTGCAAAGAGTGGTGCTTATATCTTGATATTGAAGACTACAAAAAGTCTACTAGGCGCATAGGAGGCTACTAAGCAACTGTTATCAAGATACAAGCGCATACTTCTCGCCCTCTCTCTTTTTCTCCATTTCTTCTTCTGGTGCCATTCAAAGTTAAGGCAACGAAGGGGAAAGGTATGGTATATCAGAGTCGGAATCGATTCATTTTCCGCATTTTTGATTGCCCCGCTAAATGACGCATGGCGGGAGATGGAGGAGGGGGGGGGGGAGAGGGGAGGGGAGTGGGTACAAATGGATGGATTTGACCCGAAAATTAACTTCTACTACTATTGCAACTACTGATGCAGCTACGGCTTCCGATGTGACACGGGCAATAAAATTAAACACACACGCACACACAGAGAGAGGGGACGTGCAGAGGTGATTTTCGCGGTCTGTTGGTGGAGGGACGAAACGAGGAAATGAAAGCCCGGGAATTGGTTTTTAAAGAGTTGAGCCAAAAAGAGGAGCGGAAAGGAATGAGACTCCTGGCGCCGCTCACTTGACAAACTCACACAAACGTTTACAAAGACGGCTCTCAAAAGCCAACGGGAGGGAAGTCGCATCACGCGCTCCATCATTAGCCGGCAATTAACACACACGCACACACACGCGCACACACATTGAGAGCGAGGAAGTCACTAACCACAACCGGGTTTAAGTAGTGTCTGACAGGCCGAGAGGGGATGGTGATTTGAAACTGCCCTCCACTCCTCCTTCCCACCCCTTTAAACGAGGACTTCTGTCAACTCTCCCGAGTGAGTGGGAGGCAAGAAAGGCAGAGCAACCAGGGTCGCTAAGACCAGCACTAATCGCTTCCCTACTACTCTGTGACATGCCAGTGCACATTGCAGAAACTGAACTTGAATTTATACTCTGTGACCTCAGGTGGGGGGGGGGGGGGGGGGGGGAGGGGTTTAATGACGACTTGGGTATGATTATGCCCCCACCATCCCATGCAAGTTTATAAAAAAATGATGCGACAAGGTAGTGAACTTACGGTTGCGAAAGGAATGCCGAAGAAGAAAGTGGGTTTGAGGGTTCAAAGGAAGGCAGAAGACAGCCAGAGACCTGGGGCACCGCAGAATAAGGAGCGTGAGTCATATTAGGAAGATTGTGCGTTTCAGGAAGAGATTTAGAGACGGCTACAGACACGGAATTCGAGCTGCTTCCTCTTTCCGCTGTAGCTGCAGCCATTGACGAAGACTCCGAAACACCTCCCAAAGTGGCGCTCTCTTTAGGGGGACCTATTAAGACACACGGAGTACATTAAGACGACATTAATCATCATGTGAGTGCGTGGCGAAATTATGCGTCATAAACATTTGGGCTAGTTTATCCTAAACACGTTCATACATGAGACGTGCTGATATCTTCTCCTCATCCGCCCAAAACCCTCCCCCGCCCCCTCCCCCCTACCATTTGGATCTCAACTAAGAGAGTCGAATTTCGAATATATCGTGCAGTGTGTCTATTCTCAAGTCTAGTCGTTGGAAAAAATTTCACCTGCGAACTTTCAATCATTGGCAGGCCTCACAAACCAATCTGAAACCTTATTGGCCTCTCAACTGTTGGCCTGCACCCAACAAAGCTTTAAACAAGAGAGGTGACGTATGGCCTGTAGAGAAAAATGCGGGTTCATCAAAATGAATTCATTTTTTATGCTGATTACACCTATTGGTAGTTGGTGTAGTAAAATTCGAAAATAGAAACGTACTTGGATGGGGAGAAGTGAGAAAAGAGTTCACACTGAGTGGAGGAGGGCCAGAAGCAGAGCATTGAGTCGAAGGTGTCCTTTCTTCTGGGCTCCCCTTGGCGATAGTAGTCAACGCTGACGAAGGATTGCTCACGGCGTTGTCGTTGACCTTACATCTTTTTTGCTGTTCCGTTGTTAAGGTTCCCTCTTTATCCTCACCACTACCACTGTCTTCTTCGCCTCCTTCTTGATTCAAAAGTTTGTTCGTTGCTGTTTTTGCCGTTATAGAATCAGGCGACTCAGATGTCATGACTGATGCAGGTTTCGCTCAACATTACCTCTCGCTAAACAGGAAATAATAAGACATTATCAGTTATTCAGGAAACAGACAAACGCCCATACACACTTTCTTAAGGCTATCAAATAATTGGAGGGTGAATTCGTAGCAGGAAACTTCCCGATAGAAGAGCAAAGAAAGAATGAATGAGTGCGGACGCAGTGAAATTCTCCCACAAACACAGAATATTTCGATTCACGAGTTAGTTGGATGATGTCATTCCAACACTCTGGATTTCACCTAAGCTGCAACAGGCGAAGCGAGGAGAGGCGAAACGACCGAGCGAACGAGAGATGGTTTCAGAAGAGAAAGCATTGATTAGTTGGCGACGGCACAAAACACCTGTGTGTATGTGTGCGAAACGCCTGTCCGCACGCATATCCGCCTGCTGATGCGTGCACCGCTTGCCACCGCTGTACAGACACTCCTTGTGGGGCACACACAACAATTCCTCCCCCCCCCCCCCCCCCCCCACCCATTTTAGTCTCGGCAACAGCAGCAGCAGCAGCAAGTGTTGACTCACAAATCTCTCCTTCGATAGGGCTGATTCATAGACGTGCACATATTAAAATCGCCACAGCCATCTCCCACACACACCTGCACAAAGCCATTTGACCCAGATCAGTGCCCGCCTGTTCAGAGTGAGAGGGACACAAAAAAGCACACTCAGGAAAAAGTTCATTCCTGGTGGCTTAAACAAACGCCGATTTCGTCACCGCCTTCTCAACCATACCCATCTGTATGACTCACTCAAAAGTGGCCACCAACTCAAATGTCCTATAGAGTAGGAAGTATTTCCTGTTCTATCAAACAAACTGATGCAGACCCACTAGACAACAAGGGTTGCACCCACATTATTTTATCCACGATGTCTCAATATGTGAAATAAAGGTGAAAAAGGCTCTAGGTACCCCTCCACTGCAGCGAGAGCTTCATTTTCAGCTGTCCACTAAATGACCATTCGTGCACATAAAGCATCTCTTATGTGTTTGTGTGCCAGTGAGCTTCACATACATTGCGTGTGTATCTCGAAGATGTTACGCATCGCAGTACACACCCAAATTCAACCACCCCCCACCCCGCACATATGCACGCCTACAGAGAAATCAGCATGAGATCAATATGTGTCAGAGAGCGATTTATGATAGCGTTCCTTGCTTTGTCACTCAAACTGCCAGCGATAGAGAATGCGGCTTGTTAGTGCGATCAGTAGGTTGCGCACATTCGTAGCACTACATCAACGAGAACGGTGATAGGGGAATAAGGCAAGGCAGCACCTACCTATTTGTCCCAGCGTGATGTGTGATGATGGAGGCGATGCTGCATACGTGCAGCAGCACAGAAAGAGGAAGCATGCCGGAACCTCCACTTGTCTAACCCCTGCCACCCCCCCCCCCCCCCCCCCCCCCCCCACCCGCCCCCGACAACTAAGCAAGCAAGCAGGCAGGCAACAACAATTCCAGACTACGTGCAGCAGCAGCAGCAGACTAATTGTGCAGTTGCAGGAGGAGGAGGAGGAGAAGAACGCTGTGTGGTTTTATGAAAACTCGCCTGCACTGGAGAACGGAAGGAACGAGTGAACGGGAAAACAGCTGTTTCTATAAAGTAGACAACGCATTTACCTGCTCGCCTGTGGAAGAAGACGCGAATTTCTTAGGGAGACATGTGCCGTCCAGAAAAGCGAGAGAAAAGAAATGCAAAGATTTGAAGGAGGGAGAGAGAGGAAATGTCTTCTGAGGTATTCTCTTACCTACCGGAAGACAAGTGGCATCTCGTATGCGTTTGACTTTGATTTTCAGACACTCTTTGTCACAGACAGCTGTGCAAATGACAGTACCTGCTATTCAATTTCCCCGAAAAATATTCGAAACTCGATCTTTTTTGACACCCCAGATATATTGTGGTTAATGAAATGAAGATATTTTAATAACGAAATAGTTACTATTAAAAGCAACTTGAAATTAATTAAACTTGCAATTATCCTCCTCCTTAGACAATTTATTAAAAACTGAGTAAAGCTCAAAAATTTGACACGTTCAAATCTCTTAAGAGAAACAAGGGTCAAAGATACTTATCATAGATATTTATTCAATTTTATCAATGGTCATTGAAATTAGGACCAGAATGTTCACGAGAGGCGCCTAAATGACTAATAATGAAATCAGGAGTCTAGATTTGTACTGATCATTCACCATTAATAAGTAAAAGTTATCGATTGAAATCATAGTAGGCCTTCTATGGAGACAAGAAAGTTTCTCCAACTTAAGAGTTTCTCTTAGCAAATGAATGTCTTCGATTGCTGCCCAGAGAACAAGTGGATAATTCAACAAAAGGAAGCAGGACTTTCTATGCGTCTTGAGACAGTTGACCGCATCTCAAATTCACGCGAGAAATTTCAGCTCCATACTCGGAAATAATCTCACTAAAGTTGTAGGCAAGGGTGATAAGTCTAATCGGGAAGTAACCGGCACAAATTAACAACAAGAAAACACATCCCACTCGAAGAAACTCACAATTTCTCTTAAGCCAATGTCCTAAAGCATCATGACTTGTGAAAAGTTGGTGAATTAGGGTTCCACTTCTGAGAAGTTCCAGGAATTCAATATGCACTAATTGTTAATTTAAGAAGTAAAATACTCTTTTACACAGGTCATAACTACACCTCATATGTGAGGCAAATGAAAAATTGAACCAGGTGCATATGGCAGCATAAATCGATTCAAAGCCCCCCAGAAGAGGTAAATCTTAAATCACTAATTTGCGGTCCTCCTCCTCCTCCTCTATTTCCAGCTGAAATGTGCAATCATTTGAAGAAAATGCTCAACAGGTCGATTTTGCTCCACTTCAGGAGAAAATTAATTCAAGCGAAAATGACCGAAGAGCTTTATCAGAAAGCGCAAGCGATAGTTAGAAAATAGGCTTTCTGAAGTTTTCGTTTAACCGCAGGTGCCGAAGGTGTAGTCGCGACATTTCTTTGAAACCTACCGAATTAATTTAAGCCTACAGGTAGTCGACTGGTGTCGAAACGCCGGAACTTGCGCAAGATCAACAAACGCGATAGATGTAGAGAAAAAAAGTAAGCAGACCACCTCGACAGACACATCAGACAGACAGACGGGGAGCGAGCGAGTGAGCGAACACATCAAACACTAAAGTGCCATGAATTTAAATGTGTACTACTCGATTCAACGAAGCAAAAGAAGCCATGCATTAAAGACATGGACATCTCTCCTCGCAGATGATTTAAGCTTGATCAAAAAAAGTAATCTCAAATTCGAAGGGTCAGTGCGCTTGTTCGATTGGTTGGTCATCATAAACCCCAAAATCTTGATCACTAATGGGAATATAGACAGATAACTAAAGTAGGAGAGGGATTTGCTTTACACGCAAGGAGTAAGAGAATTAATTTTAGATCTGAGAGAGAGAGAGAGAGAGAGAGGAAGGCATTCGCCCTCTCCTTCTCCTCCTCCTCCTCTTTGACTAGAAGTGCCGTGTGCATGTTTGCCCCGACTACTGCCGAATGGGGAGGGCACACACACACACACACAAAGAGGGAGACTGATTTTCCAACTAAATGTTATTGTGAAAAGGCGCAAGAGAAGAGGCAGGAATGGCATTCTGGCTGGCCCCGCTTATTTTTAGAGGCCCAATATGTTGCGTGCGTGAACAATCAGGTTCTCCAGATCACTGGCATGGCATTCAGCTAAATTAAACATTCTACCTGAAAACTATCGGCTTAGATAGTTCAGAGAATCGCCCACCCCACATTACAAATTCTGGGATCACACACACAATGAAGAATGAACAAACTGCCTAAAGAGATGGAATCCAATCGTCATTCACACAAGCACCCAAGTAAGATTGTCAAGGATTTGACTGACTCCAAGCAGACCAGGTAAAAAAGCGGTAGGTAGGTAGGTAGGTTGGGAGGAGAATAAGGCATCTACGAAAATCGGCTAAAACGCATCAACCTGATGTTTGGGAGGAGGAGGAGGAGAAGGAGGAGGAGGGGGAGGCGGAAAGGAGAGGAAGTATTTGCGTACGAGACTAGGACTCATGTCAATCAGGATTATGCATTTCCAGCGTGGCGTAATGAAGATGAATACTCGCATTCCGAACTACCCCTTCAATAACAACCAAATACAGCATTATGGCAACAGCGTTGTCGTTCGGTAGAAGATAATGGATGGGATTTGATTGAGAGAAGGAAGAGAAGTGAGGGGCGTCGGGGAACAGAAATTGGGAGGAGTTCTTTTCTCACCGACAAAAGGCGAGAGACTTCTCAGGAACACAAAGGGAAAGTCCTCACTACTCTTGTTGCAAGCGTTGCAAGCGGCAAATTCGTGACTCCCAAGGGAAGCACTTCCCGGCCGAATTTCATTGTACCAATAAACAAGTTCAGTTTTCAGGCCCTTTGGGAGGCGTAAACGTTACAATCACCACCACCCAGTTAACCAAAAACACGCTGATAATCAATATATGAGTCAAAAAAGGCATCCTATATAGCCTAAATAGATGCAGCACACGAATCAAAAAGTGCGACTTGAGTGGGAGAAATGACTTACCAAAAAGAGAGGTAAACTGCCTGTGTCAGCTCGAAAATGACCGAAGAAGGCAGGAGGAGAGAGAGAGAGAGGGAGGACGGAAAGAGAATGTCGAAAATCAGGAGAGTAGAATATATTCCACGAGAAAGGGACCGTGACAACGAAAGGTGTCTACCTGAATGTTGCCTGTGTGAACGAGTGAGGAGAGTGCGTGAAGAGAGTGCAACTATGCACGCCTAGAAAGTGCGCGCGTATGACTTTTCACGGCACACACGCTGTAGTGTTTTCTATCTCAGTAGTGTGTGTGTGTGCTGAACAGCGGATCAACTGCGATGGTAAGCAAGCGAGAAACTTCTGCTTCGTGGGGGTGCCCCTTTACTAACGTACGTTGCGTGTGCTAACGTACAAGTGCGTGTCTATACCGCGATG